GACGTACTCCATCTAAGGTTTTAACTCTGGAGAGTCCAACGTAAACCTGCCCTTTATTAAATATAGAGGAGCCTATGTTGAGAAGAGGACTGTCAAAACTAAGGCCTTGTGATTTGTGGATAGCATATGTTAAGCAAATACGGAATTGTTCTCTGTCAACATATACATTATTTAATATCTGAAACTTGGTATTGACACGTTATAGTTCGTAAAGACGACCCATCAAAAACATAAATGTGAAATGATAGCCGAGTTTAATATTATGATATATACCTTGATTGTTGACTTCTACGACAAAAGAGATGAGATCTAAATGGGTGCCAAGTTCAATGGTCTGTCCTGAAATATATTTATAACAATATAAAATATCATTTCTTCTTATAATTTAGGATAATATACTGTAGCCTAAGGTCTAACTTGGCCAGTTCTCATATACCAATTATTACTTTCGATTGCTAGTTACTATTAATATTAAAATAGGAACCGACAAGTAACATGTTTAGAACTTGCGAAGGCTACAGTATATTTCGTATATGAAAACTAGCCAAGTTAGACCTTAGGCTACAGTATATTATCCTAAGTTATAAGAAGAAATGATATTTTATATTGTTATAAATACATTTCAGGACAGACCATTGAATTTGGCACCCATTTAGATCTCATCTCTTTTGTCGTAGAAGTCAACAATCAAGGCATATATCATAATATTAAACTCGGCTATCATTTCACATTTATGTTTTTGATGGGATATCATTACTTTTTGTACATAAATTATACGAGGTACTTATTTATAACTAAATTAATACCAAATTATTTTTGATAAATTACTGTACTTTCGTATATTTACGGGGTATAATTGTCTTTTTTTTGTGTTATTTTCTATATTTTCTTGTAACTTTTAAATGTTCAAGTGCAATGCCAATTCAGTATCAGGAATTTTTGGGCAAATCGGGGCGGTATAACGGCCACAGATGGTTGTACTCTACAATAGAGCTCTCGTGACTTGGATCTAAATTGTTAAGACGTACTCCATCTAAGGTTTTAACTCTGGAGAGTCCAACGTACACCTGCCCTTTATTAAATATAGAGGAGGCTATGTTGAGAAGAGGACTGCCAATACTAAGGCCTTGTGATTTGTGGATAGTAATAGCATATGTTAAGCAAATACGGAATTGTTCTCTTTCAACATATACATTATTTAATATCTGAAACTTCGTATTGACACGTTATAGTTCGTAAAGACGATTATGTAACAAATTGACTGTTATCTATTGAATTCTCAAGAAAACAATTTGTTACCAATGAGTTCTCATTCTCGAGTTAACTATACATTCCTACTTATAACTATACTAAAATTGTTATTAATTTTTGGTTTAAACTATTGTCTATACCATACGTATTTACTAAAATAATGTAATAATAATATAATCACAAATATATAATTTAAGAAAGCTATAAATTTCGTAGCATAAATCGCAACCTTATAGGTTAGATATCGAGAAACAAAACATTGAGTTTTATCGCACCGCTCCCACACGGCGCTGCCGCGGCGCCCTATACCGAAATGCCTATTATTTAATAATTATTTATAAAAATAATGATTTTACACTATCGATGTGCGCTAAATATTGAAACAATAATTAATACCAAATCTCAGTTAATAACATAATAAATACGAAATTCGACTATACTCCTAGTTATAAGTACGAGTATATTTTAGACAGAATCTAAATTATAGCAATATTGTGTTTACCGCTCAATGCAATATTTGAAGTTTGCTAGTTATCGACACTGATGTGAAGGGGTCAACGTAAATTAGTAATGATCGACGTTTTCATACAATATTACTTACCGTCCAGTACAAGATGAGATTTTTCGCCAGGGATCAATGTCAATTGGTGGCTATCGACGTTTTCATAGAATTTTAGTATTCGTCCAGTATAAGTTGAAATAGAATCAATTAAAGTGAAAAATTGTAGTAAAATGATAACAATTTACCAGTTTCAGATTTTTTCCTTTATATTCACCTAATTACCTATCTGCATGCCAAATTTGAACTTCCTAGGTCATCTGGAAGTGGGTTATAATTTTGATCTATAATTGATCAGTGATAAAAATGACGATTTTTGGACATTAATATCTAAATAACCGTTTGAGATATGTTTATGAAATTTGGAACACATATTTATCTCGCAAGTCTCAATATATGAACCAAATTTGACAGGTTTTTGTGAAAGAGTTTTTGAGTTATGAGGAGGTCAAAAGTGACTCCAAATGGTTCGTGTAAATATACACACGGTGCTGCTTGCCAGTTTACTTGAAACTCGGCTTGACACGCTACCGCGTGTCTAGATTCTTTGTGGATTGACACCGAAATAACTTATTGATTTATACAGTCATAGGTATTTATGTACTCCTAAAATTATTATTAGTCTAACTCAGAGCAGAGTAAATTTTAATATTACGTGACAATCGTTTCTAGGATTAATTTTGTTTCTATCACCAGAGAGTCAAAACAGTAATACAAAATGTGTTATTTGTGTTTGTAAGATCACGACGTAAGAAAAGTTATCCCAACTTTTCTTCTATCACGATTTATTCTATCACTTCTATTACTCTCTAAACTATTTAAATCAGAGTACCTAATAACGATGTCTTGTTGTCATGTTGATAGGTATGAAATTTTGAACCGATTTTCATGCTTTTTTTATACCAAAAGGGCTGACGTAATAGAACATAAATTAGTCGTAATTAAAATTGTCATGCTTATTTGTAAAAAAATGTTATTTTCTTTTCAATGCCAAAACACATGAAAAACAAGCAAAGAAACGGTGTTCTTGCGTCGAACCAGTTAAAACCGGATTGCTGGAAGTGGTTAATTTGCAACAAATAGTGTTATATCGATTTATATATTAACAATATTAACGAATTGTCACCGCGTCAGTGTGTAATACGTAACACGCGTTTTAACACCTTTGTGACACTACTTTGCAATTAATATTAAGCCAAGAGACAGAAATCAAAACTCAATGATTTGTTAATTTAAATTATAAAAATTATTTATTTGCCTATTAAGGCAATATCTGTGGCAGGAAGAATACAAGGTACAATGTACATATATAGTAAGTGTATCGCCACTTTAGATCGAATGTGTAACTATTACACATATGCTTTGACAGGTGATTAGAAGAAAAAGTATTAAATGGTGTCCAAAAAAAACTGAAAATAATAGAGTATTCCAAACAGTAAATAGTAAATGAAATGAAGTACTTATGAATTTTTATTTATAGAATTTAAAAGGCGTATACGTCGCGGCGTCGGTACTTTTACTATAGCCATAATTTAACTGAGAAATCAAACCTCGGCTCAGTATTTTTCATCATTTCTCAGATGGTTGATCATAAGGGAAAAAACAGTCACAGCGTATCGATTGAAAAACTTCAAAACACGCAAATAAACTTATTTTAGCGGGAATGTAGACTCAGTGAGAGAAGGATTGTGTCATCGTTTGTTTTTATTAAGATTAAATTTATTTAAATAAAGATTACTATTTATCTATATTTGGTTACTAAGCGACTTGTTTTGCTCCTTACCTACTAGGCAAAATATAAACAAAAAAATATACTAATTATCCAGTCTCCAGGACTACAGCAAAAAATGTCGTGTTAAATTGAACCCTGGTACGATCACGATTTCACACAATAAATTGTATATAAAACTCCTAAAATAAACAAATAGGTATGAACATACATAATGAACAAATTGTGAACTCGAAAATCTTATTGTACAGAATAATGGATTTAAATTAAATTTAAATATGTTTCTCTATTCCTACAAGTCTATAACAGACATTTAGGGCGAACTGACAAGAAACTTTCATTCTCGCACTCACTCATTCCAAATACCAAAAAGAAGGATGGAATGTGTTTTTTTTTCAAATCATAGGTATTAAAACGGCCATACCTGGTCTATGCAGCTTTTCTTCATGAAAATGAATTCGAGTGCAGTAGGTAGATACTCCATACCGCGGAAGGTACTCATTTATTACAAATAATTCTGCCTGCCGCATGTGAAATAAGAGTCGTGACGCAATATTATTATTAATTACAAATGTTAAAAACATTTGTAATTAATAATAATATTGCGAATTTGTCTGGTAACAATATTTTATAAGTTATTTCCTATTTTTGAGAACCATTGTGAAAAAAAATGGGGAATTTTTTTTCACAATGGTGACAAACAAGAATACAGTCTATCTTATGATAAACAGTAGCAGCAGCAGCAGGAATAGGGATGTGAAGAAAAACAAATTGTGACTATGTACATATTTATATTAGAGATGGATTGGTGCAGGATATTATATGACAAGTTAAGTATCCGGGCTCGAATGACAGACCTGTTATTTTTACTAGGACAAGCCGTAACTAGGCAACGGTGTTATTGGATGATTTTAGTAAATTCACCAAACCGCGGAGAGAAGGCGATAGAAAAAAAAGAAACTATAAATCTAAAATATCAGGATAATTGTATGGAGTGGTGGCAAATTGAGATGAGTGGAAATGATGAAAAAGTGAAAGGAATAGAGAAAGACGAGGGTGTTTGATAGTGAGGGCCACATTTCATAGATCTTCATGCTGTGCCCCCTGGAAACCATCGTTGTGGTGAATTTTCCACGATGGACTAACTGATCTGACCTCATGCTCATCTTATCATACTCCAGTGGAGCCCCACCAGATTAAACCATTAGGGCAGGCGGGAGCACTATTTCAGTATCATCCATTAAATAACTTTTAAAATATTGAAAACTATGAGATATGTATTTTGCTAGATAAAATATAAAAATGATAAACAGAAAAAAAAGAAATTAAGAATAAATTTATATTAATAAGTTTATAAAACAAACAAAACGCATTCATTTCATTGCTTGACAGCTTTCTTATACAGTTGTCAATGTCAGTGTCAGCTTTCGGTAGTGAGTACTACTCTCACCACCTCACAGTTAGTACATAGATATAAGAAAATAGTATTTTTCTTTTGATCTTGTTTCTCGTCTCTCTGTACAATAAAATTAAATTACTGTATTGTAACCAATTCTTACAATGGATTACCAAAGTAAACAATTAGCCGAAGATATCTTCTTACGAGAACCTGTCGACGCTCGTATAAGGTACGTTACTAACCTCTATATTAAATAATTGCACAACCTGTGTTAAATATATTAAAATTAAATAATTTGCAATTTAAAATGTTATTAAACATTTTTAGGAAGCCTAAAAATGAGGTCAAAGAAGACAGCCACCCCAATCTTAAAGTGGAACTGCAGACTATTCGTCTGAATTCTGACTCACAGAAGGCGGTGTTGGACACTCTAAGGTTTATCCATGGTCCTGACTTCAAGTTGGATAGTGCTAGTCTTTACAAAGTAAGTAAACACAACAACAAACAGTTGAATCATGGAGTAGTTTTTATATTTGTTTCATATTTCTATTCTGGATCAAAATTCAATGAGATTTCTAACTTTAGGCCGTCCTTTGTTATTTTATATATGATATATTATTTTTGAGGAGTAGGACGTGTTTAAGATTTAAAGTGGAAAACACATAATTCAGGTTATTAAGCTGTTTCTGTGCGATATGGTATTATTGCACAATAGTAAAATTGCACAGTCAAAATATTGCACAATAACAGTTATATATCTACTCTTGTAAGTTCATTGACCTAAAATGTGTTATTTGTATTATAGTTATATGTATATATATTATATATGTTTTATTATGGTTATGTGCTCAATTTTTTTTGCAAATATTACATATTTTCCTTTGAGAAAACATGATCATTTATTTTAATAACAATGTTGCAATAAAGAATCCAACTTATATTATAAATATAAATGTAAACAGTTGTGGGAATACATGGATGTATGCCTGTTATTCTTTAATGCAAAAATTATTAGTCAGGTTTGCATGAACTTTAGTGCGTTGATAGATCATATCCTATATTAGCACATAATTACCTGAATCCATAAGGTATATAATGTTATTTATATAAATATTAATGATGTGTTTGTACTCATTAAGAAATTATTAGAAATAAACAGCAGATTCCATTAAAATGTCTTATTTTCAGATCTAGTGATCTAGTTTTTAGCCAAAGATTTAACAATATCAATATGCTATATTGAATTGAACCCTGAATGGTGTTGAGGCTCGATGATAATATGTTTTGTATATTTAGGTATATTTTTTTTATGTTCTTTATCTTTATGAAATATAAATTTCTATATAAAAAGGAATAAAATTATTAAATATAATTCTGAAAGATATCCATATCAACTTATCTTACTGTATGACAGTTAATGTAAAATATATTCGACTAAAATATCTAATGATTGGCTCTTTAGATATCTGATATCTTTAAACAATAAATCTACTAAGAAAATAGCTTTGACTGCATGTGTCATGTAAAAATAATTATTATATAATATTTCAGATATTCATTACTTAAAATTATATTATAATCTAATCATTAAATAATTAAATGCCCTAATTATTGATAATTCACAGTTCTCTCATTTTTTCAGATCTTATCTTAAACTTTTACTAATAGAAATAGGTATCTTATATATTTCCCTAGAAAGATTAAAATCAAACAACCATATTATAACAGAAATATTTCTTTTTCAGGATAAAGGTACAAATCTTAGTAACCGTTTTTGGATGGAGCGTGGTAATTTAGTGGTGCAGGGTGGGTGTGACTACTCATTGAACGTCAAACCAGATATAGAGACGTCTGAAGCCAGGCTTAGAGCTTTTGCATTAGCAAAGCTAGAGAAGTATGAACTTTAACTTAAATATAACAGGGTTATAAATATAAAAAAAAATTTATAGACAATTTTTTTTTTATATTTAGTCTGTTTGTTCTTGTTAATGGCTAAATGGCTGAACCCATTTTAGACAGGAGTTTCATTCGCAGATAGTTAGAATGTTGTAAAGAGTAACTTAGGCTACTTTTATTTTAATAATTGATTATTTATTTATATTATTAACAAAATGTTTAATTCCACGCAGATTTTAAGTCACGGGTCACAGGTAGTATCCTTAATCAGTTATGTGATAGTCTTTGTATTTGAGTCTATTTGGGATACAAGTATATCCAATAACTCTAGTAACAGTTGTTATATATTATTACAGATATAATTTCCATAAGGCTCATTGTGCTGAGGCATTAGAAGTGGCAGCTGAAAATGTGGAAAAAGCGTTAGAAATATTATTTTACAAATATTTCAAAGTGGATCCACAGGACAAGCCTAATGACATACCATCAACTGCAGAATTACTAGAAATGAGAATAGATGAGAAGGAAGTGCTTGAATCTATTTATGATACCAGTTTTAAAACCAAGGACAATGATGTATGGTCAGTTAAGTTGAATCTAGATTATTTGACAAAGCAATATCAAAATAAAGATGTAGAACTGCCTAAAAAGACACACACTGTAAATTACAATAGTAAAACAAAGCCTAAAGAAGTGTGTAAACTTTATCTTAAAGGTCCTTGTAGATTTGGTGCTAAATGTAAGTTTTTACATGAAAATAATGTACAAGAGAATGAATCAAAACATGTTGTTAAAGAACAGGAAAAAATTACTTTTGAATTAGAGATAAGGTTTGGTGAAAACACTGCATATCCGTACCAACCTCCATTGTTGTTTTTCAAACCTGAGAATCCCACAAATATAATACCTGAATTAACATGTTTAAAGGTGACAGCAAAATTATTAGAGGAGGCCAAGGCTTTTGCAGAAAATGGTATACCAAGCATACACTCATTGGTTGAACTACTTAATAATGAAGAGGAAATTTTAAATTTTATAAAATTTGATACAAGAGTATTCCCCGTTCCTACTGATGCCTTATTTCCTCAGTTAATAGAAAATTCCAATGTTCGCAAACAAACATTACCATCTCATTATAAGAAAGGTCAGAATAAAAATAATAGGAGTAACATTAACTTTGAAGAAACATTGAAAGAAAATAAAGAAATAGCTAAGAGATGGTTGGAAAAGAGAGATAATAGTAGGTACAATAAAATGATGGCAGATAGAAGAAAACTTCCGGCATGGAAGATGAAAAATGAAATATTGAATGCCATTAAAAAATCTCAGGTCGGTTATATCTTAAAGCGTTATTATTTAATATAGTTTATAGAGGATGTAGCCAAAAATGGAATGTTGTATGAAAGAGAAACATAGATGTGTGCGAGAGAGAGAAAGCAAGTGCAAAAGCAAATTACACTCACAGTTCACATTTTTAAATATATAACAGACATAAATATCTGAACCATTATTCTGTTACCTACTTGATTTACGTAGATAACACCTAAAAAAGTTGTTTGTATTTTAGGTGGTGGTAATCAGTGGTGAGACTGGCTGTGGTAAAAGTACACAAGTACCTCAATATATCCTAGATGACTGGTTAGCTAATTTTGACAAAGACGGACCTGAACATGCGGAGATTATCTGTACGCAGCCAAGAAGAATATCAGCTATTGGTGTGGCGGATAGAGTGGCAGATGAAAGGGTCGAGAAAACTGGCCAAGTTGTTGGTTATCAGGTATGATGTTATGGCATTAAAAATAATAATTCAAAACAATACACTGCGCCATCTAGACCCCACCTAAAGAAAGCGAGGCGAAGGTAATTGTTAGTATTATGGACTAATGACCCCATAGCTAGCAATGTATGACGTCAAGTTCCTCCTAGAGACCATCAGGATAAATTCCTTGGGAATTCGATATGATGGCCTAACTGTCCTGACCTCATCTTATCATCCTCCAATGGTGCTCTGCTAGCGTAAATGTGCACCTTTCCAATATAATCATTTAAAAACCTAAGTAGAGCTTATGTTATGGGTATTAGACAACTGATAGAAAAGCTTTTTTTGTAAATGTACAGATAATGGACAAACTAATACAAACAATCATACTCATGAATACAAATGTTTGTACCCGTATAATTAAGATACAAATATACAATATTAAGTATTTTGTTTTGTTTACCTAGGGTATAAGATAAACAAAAGACATACTATAGAATACATGGCATTTGTGAATTTGTATTTATCTTCCTTACTAAGATTGAGAACAGAACTTATGACTTCGCGTTTGCAAAGCAATACTTCTATTACTATGTTGTAAAAACGTCAAGATGAAATTATAATCTAAATATAACATTATTATATATGTATTTCAATTTCAGATAAGATTAGAAAGTAAAGTGTCGTCAAAAACTCGCTTATCGTTTTGTACTACCGGTATATTGCTACGTAGATTAGAATATGATCCACAATTGAAGTCTGTCACTCACATAATAGTAGATGAAGTCCACGAGAGGTCAGAAGAGAGTGATTTCCTCATACTCATCCTTAGGGACCTTATCAAAGTAAGAAAAGACCTTACGGTGATACTCATGAGTGCGACGTTGAATGCCGATTTGTTTTCTCAGTATTTTGACAAAGTTCCGATTTTGGAGATACCTGGTAGAACGTTTCCAGTTGAGCAATTGTTTTTAGAAGATATAATGGAAATTACAAATTACGTTTTAGAAGAAAATGGTCCTTATGCACGTAAAACGAAAAAAGGTGTGTGTTTATTGTTCAGATTAATTTAATAAGTTTAAATCTACAAAAAATAGATAAATCCAGTTTCAGATTACATAAATAACACAGATACAGATTGTATACTTTAAAATGGCAGCAGCAATCAAGCACAATGCGTCATATGAGTTGATTATAAAATCAATATAATAGCTGACTTATAAATACGCTCTTTAACTCGCGAATCGGTTTACATACATTAGTCTTTGTCAATATACATTTACATGCAAGAATTTAATTATTACAAAATTAATTATTATAAAAATTGTGTATACACATGTGCATATAAATGTATATAGACAAAGAGAACGAGAGAGACCACACACGCCGCTAGTTCGCGCATCCCTGCGCCTTCAATCGTACGTCCTAGCGAATTTTTGTAATAATTATCATTGCAAAATAGCGGATGTCTCACAATGGAACAAAGACTTTCTGTTACTTTTTCTCGTTTAAATGGATCTTAATAAAATATTGCCTAAAGTTGGATTGTATCATGAGGCCGGACATATACTACTTTTTATCTCAAAAATAATGGAGAAAAGCTGTTTAATATTTGTATGGGAAATATGGTCAAATTCGATTAAAGTTTGTATGAGAAGTCAATTTATTGAGTAATATTGTTATTACATCTAACAATAGAAAAAATCTAAATATCATAATAAAAATTTAAAAGTAGCCTATTATATGGTATTAATTCTAAGCACATCATTAATATACTGAGATAAATTAATCCAATTTAATGGTTTTAGGTGACAAAGACAGGAGGCAAGATTTAGAAACTGAATTGGAAACATGTGATGTACGATCTGAGGCCAACGAAGCTCCAAAACAATCGATACGAGACGATAACCTGACCATAGCTCAAGTTATAGCTCGGTATCCACGCTGTAGCAAGACAACTTGTAAGAATATGCACCTTATGGACATGGAGAAGGTAAGATATATGCATGACTTGAGTAATATACTTTTAGCTCTGTGGTATAATCACTAGTAGTTAGAAGTGATATGAGAGCATTGCTTTTGTTTCGGTTTGTCGAAAGATCATCCTCAGTAGATGGAATCAGTTTGATATCAGCTGGTTAAATAAAAATTTGATTTGATTTTTGATACCCTTCATGTTATTTAAGATATTTAAAGTTTCCTTGTATTCTTTAATCAAAATTGTAAAAACAAAATTATATAATATGTCACTATATAATATGTCACTATATAATATAATATGTCACACTGTCTACCGTCTTACCATTAAATACATTTTTCCAGTCACAAATAGTTTTACTACATATTTCTACAACACTTCATGCCTTACCACTTCTGAGGACTGCGACATGATGCTTCCCAAAGTGTAGTTTCAGTGCTTTACTTAACTTTACAATCAACATAACAATACAAGACAGACAGTTTGTCAAAATGTATACTTCAGTTTATCTAGAATACTAACTACACGTCTAACTGGGCGCTAAAAGAAAAATATTAATACGAAATCTTGTCTTTTATAAGTGACTAAAATGTACATGACAAAAAAATATCTTAGTAGAAATTAGATCATCATAAATACTAGAACTATTTAAGATATATCTGTATATGATTAAGACCCTTGTTTCATACCTGTTATTTATACTCAAATACACTAATATTTTTTTCTGTCTCCTAACAGATAAACCTGGATTTAGTGGAACACGTTTTAACGTATGTTGTGAATGGCGACCACAAGTGGCCTAAAGAGGGCGCTATATTAATTTTCTTACCGGGAATAGCAGAAATTATGTCTTTACACGACCAGTTAGCCGAAAGTCCTACATTTAGTCGCAAGTGAGTTGCAGTTATATATTTTATTGATTTATATTTTATCGATTAGGATTAGGATTTTGCAGAAGACCATTTCACTACTTAAGTAATGGAATTATATTATTTTGTTTAATTCCGCTACCATTAGCACGTGTTTACCAGTAGCAAAGACCACAAATATTCAGTGCGAAAACCACTGGTAAGTGATCAAATTACGACCGTTATTGAGTCTACACTCATATTGCGATATGTGTGCCGCCTCTGAATAAGGCATCCGGCATCAGGAATAATGAATCAGGCATTGCATTGAGTTCGTATATAGCTTGGAAGCTTAGTGTGACTTTTGAGAGTCGAATTTTGTCGCCGAGTTGAGTAGATTTGTTGATTGATGATAATATATTGTAAAAAATGCAGTGCTACCAATTTAGTAATACCAAACTATACCTTTGCGCATTTTCTTGGCAATATTACTGGTATTAAAAATATGGGTCATCGAGACGCTCGAAGAAACGAGTTAGTTTCGTTGTTTACTATTAGTACGGGCGAAGTGAAAATAAAAAACGAATTTATTTTCTAAGCATCTCATTATATTAATTACAGAAAGGGTAAATTTTTATTAGTGCCTCTACATTCAACGTTGTCGAGCGAGGAACAGTCGCTCGTGTTTAAGAAGCCCGCATCTGGAGTACGGAAAATCGTGTTATCAACCAATATAGCGGAAACATCGGTCACTATAGACGACTGCGTGTTTGTTATAGACTGTGGCAGAATGAAAGAGAAACGGTAAGAATTATGATTTAAGGTTATAATTATTTTAATGTTTAGCATATTAGAATAATGTATTAGATGCTAATATCTCCATAAATCTAATTTACTTAGCTTGTTTATGGGTAGGTTGATAAAGTGTGATATAGGAAGAGAGGAGTCGTTATGACGTCACATTGCAACAATAAACTAACAACTAAAACTTATGGAGCGGCTGAAGGCCAACTCCCGCCTGACAGATACGACTTTAGTCTGAGGGCATCGTTAGGAGTTCGAACCTCGGCTCAGGCCGTCGTAATTTCGATCACCATTTGAATTAGATGTATGGATAGATTGGAGGGGGGTGATCAGCTGTGAATTTCTAGGTATAAAGTGGTAACCATCGCCGTATATACAGTACATTGATTGTAGTGAACAGGCAACAGCCTTGAGCCGTAAATACATAATTTCATCAATAAATCAGAGAAGTATGGCTAACTACGTGAAATAAGAATTTTAAATATTAAATGTTATACAGGTTTGACTCTAATCGTAACATGGAGTCTCTGGACCTGGTGTGGGTGTCTCGCGCCAACGCGAAACAGCGGCGAGGCCGCGCCGGTCGCGTGATGCCCGGCATCTGTGTACATTTGTACACGTCGCACAGGTACAACTACCACATACTGGAGCAACCCGTGCCGGAGATACACAGGATACCGCTCGAACAGCTGCTGTTGAAGGTCAAGATACTACCGCTGTTCGAAAATATGAGCGTGCACGAGGTTTTAGGTAAGTTGTAGATAAAACGGGACATTGGGGCCCCTAAAATTGGACTGGTTTGCTCTGATGGCTATGACTGATTTTTTTGTTACCCAAGTAACTAACTATAGTATAGGCCTGAATAATTGCTGATGCATTTTTTTTTTTAGTGTATAAGGTACCAAAAAAGTTGTAACTATTGAATATCCTTTTATTTTTGTAAATACACTGGTAACATCTATTTTATGATAGAAAGTATTATATTTATAGAAAGTATTATATTAGTATACAAATACAAATCTTTTTCTTTTTTTAAATTGAAATGGCAAACAAGCTGTGAATAATTATCGAGATTTTCTACGCACTCATGCTGTTGTTTAGTTGTTCATTGCCAATAGTTGTTATGCCACTCTGAGTAATAAGGCGTAAGTAACATGGCTTTTATCCTGTAATTTTATGGCCTATAAATACGAAACACAGGTTACAAAGCAAGCTGCTTGGTAGCTGGAATTGATAAGTCTAAGGTACTCGCGTAAACAATTTTTTATAGTCTAACTGGTATTTACAGGAAAAACTATAGAACCACCGTTAAAATCAAACATAGATGGAGCATTATCTCGCTTACAAGATGTTGGCGCATTAGACAAGACTTTCGCCCTGACTGCACTCGGGAAACACTTAGCCACGTTACCAGTTGACGTCAGAATAGGCAAGCTGATGTTGTTCGGCGCTATATTCTGTTGTGTGGACTCAGCATTGACTATGGCTGCTTGTTTGAGTCATAAAAGTCCGTTCGTCGCTCCGTTTGGAAAAAAGGTATGTACCTATACATAATTATAATGATTTAGTGTTCCAAATTCTGCCAGTTTTTAATTATGTATATTATTAATAATAAAAATATGGATTGAAGAGTTTTTGGGAGAATTATCAGTGGAAGTGGGCTGATGATGATATTATTAATAATAATTATACCCTTTAACAATTCACACAATGTTATCTAGTCCCAATTAATCAGAGGTTGTGTTGTGGGTATATATATACTAGAGAACTGATATAAATACTGAGATATTTTTTTTGCAAATACATACATAATGTATATAGAAAACACCCAGACTGATACAAACAATCATACTCATGAATACATATATTTGTACCGTGCGAGGCATCGAATCTGCGACCGTTGGAAGTAAAGCTGTGAGCTAAACTGCTATATCAACGAGGTCGTTAATTAATTTTAATTTATATTTCAGATATTTTTGTTGTTGTATATATTATATCTTTTTACCTCAAAATAAAAGAGGGATTACAGCTAGCTAATGATAATAAATAGATAATTTGATATTTGTAACAAAAACTATAAAAAATTTCTTTCTATCGCCGAAACTCATATTTCCCTACATGTAATGTAACGTATTAAAATATGAGTTAATAGGTTTGTGCCCATTTTTAAGCAAGCTTTTTTCTGAGATATTATTATTTTTATTAATTATACTTTCACACCAGTTTCTATTTATAATTTGGTTTGTTTCAGACAGAGGCTGACGCTAAACGAAGGGAATTCTCGTGTTCTAACAGCGATCAATTAACCACTTTGAAGGCGTATAGGGTATGTTCATATATAAATATATGTAGTACAATATAGTGTATATAAATATAATAGTAATATAAATATTGTGTATATGGGTATTATATGAGATTATTGGGTTCGTTTAATCTGAATCATAGAAACTAGTAGAAAATGCTATATACACCTTTATTTGTGTATTAAAGTAAGCATAAATAGGTGTCAAAATGCGAACACAATTTAATGTACGAAGTTGCGTTAAAGTTACACAAAAAATATGTGTGACTCCTTTAAAAGATCTATAAAAAAATCATCGATAAAATATGGTAGGTAATCAAATTTAATCCAATGCATTATTTGCAAAGGTGATTTTATTAACATGATGTTTATCCAAATAAATATTTATTTATTTGGATGAGGATGTTATTTATTGGCTGTTTTAATTTTGAACAAAATACACAAGAAAAACACAACATAATTTGATTTCAATTAACACATATTGAGCTCGTGCGTATCCGTTGACCGCCCGCCCGGTCAACGGATCCGCACGAGCTCGCGGGGTTGCTAGTAATTAATAACAATAAATATTGTTTGTTTCTAGAAATGGCAGCAAGCAATGAAAAACAGTACACATTCCGCTTTAGTATTCGCAAATGAGAATTACCTCTCTCACAAGACGTTACTTATGCTTGCTGATATCAAACATCAATTATTGGGCTTGTTAGCATCTATTGGTTTCGTACCGGATATCCCAGACTTGAGGCGGAGGATGAGGAAGGATTCTGTAGCGAGCCTCACTGGGGAAGAGGTAAGTGTTACTGCACTCACTGACGAGCTGTAACCAGAGGTAATAATCTTAGGGGTATATTACACTATCATATACAGGGCTAGTTGTAAAGGGTATTATAAAACAAAAGCCAGGTAAAAATTAATAAAATCAAAATGTCTTTATTTATGTGGGTCTATTCAGACTCTTATGATATATCAAATCTTCCGTCAGTTTGGAGTACTTTCGAGCTAAGAAGAACTGGTACGAAACTCAGCTACTTTTCAAATGAGCTTGTACAAATACAAATTGTGACCAGTTACATTTTCACCAAGAAATAAGGTGGGAGTCTAAAAAGAACTTTTCAGTTTTTTATACTAAATTGATCACGTAACTAAACTCTTTGTTAAAGGTTTTAAAAATATTTATATGTGTTAATATCGATATAGAAACTCAGAATAGGTATTGTAAGTCATACACTACGCATTATAATCTAAGAGTAGATATAATATAACGGTACATAATTCTGACATTATAGGAATTCGAGATATTTTTGAGTTGCTTCTGTGATTTTCGGTAGACTACACCGAAAAGTATCAATATCACTTATGATGTTATACATTATAAAATAAAATATAATATCAACTTTATTTTTTAAGGAAATTCCGATTCATAAATAGCTTTTACTACTAACCCTGTATAGTTATAATGGTTTTTATTTTACATTTGGTTTATTTGTTTGTAAGCAAAAACTTTGTACCCCTTTTTACGAAAATACCCGGATGGAGGAATATGACATTTTGCACACTTATTGTTTGTATAGAGATGGAAAGCATAATGCTAACATTTTTTTAAGATAATGCATAAACAATACATGTAATCAATAAAAAAAATATTACGCAAACTACCATGTGTACTATACACACACACATACATACTCCTTTGTTAATTGTTAAAGTCTGTGGTGAAATAGATTAATATTGTTACTCTTTAATTTGTCCATAGTCTTACTGAATGTGAAACATAACCATAATAAAGACACTAATGATAGTTACATAGATATTTAAAGTAATTATGGTCGAATTTCGACCACTGGCTGACCACTAGTACATATCTATATATTTCAAAGTTTAATTGGGTGTTTTATAATGACTTTTTTTCAGTTGAACATAAATGGTAACAACGACAGACTGTTGGCGGCAATTTTATGTGCGGCTTTATACCCGAATGTTGTAAAGGTAAGATTAGAATTTGCAATGTCTATAGCCGTTTATTCGTGTATTAAACTCGCGATCTTTACAATTGTCTTAAACCACTGAACCAACGAGATCATATGGTTGTTAAATGAAACATAAATGTGATTAAACAGTAGTATTAATAATTTTCAGGTGTTAACGCCTGAAAAATCGTTTCATATGCAAGCAGGCGGTGCTATACCGCGCCAGCCGTCCGCCGACGAGTTGAAATTCAAAACCAAATCTGACGGTTACGTGGCACTACACCCCTCGTCGATAAATTCAACTGTTGGTTACTATGCGAGCCCGTATCTGGTGTATCAGGAGAAAGTGAAAACGTCAAGGGTCTTCATTCGAGAATGTTCCATGGTGCCGCAGTTGCCATTGGTCTTGTTTTCTGGTGAGGCAACATTTATTATATGAGGACCTATCTACCTACTTTACTTATACCCTTGTAGTATAAGTGGGAAAGAGAAGGAAGGATTATGTTGTTCTATCGCACACTGCTGACGTCATGCGGCCATTACGCTGTAAACGACGAGAAACAGTGGTGTGTGTAGAGAGCCGACAATTAGTAAAACAGAACAACCCTAGTAATTAAAAGTTCAATTTTTATCATTTGTGCAAATAAAATAACTTGTTATTACATACAATTTAATAGTTAACATGAGTTTATTAGACGTTAGACGATTAGATGTTTTTCACTATTGCCAGATGAATGAGATACTATGAAAATTTTTAACTAGTGATTATTTTTTTAACAGGTTGCAATCTATGTGTGGAACTCCACAACGGCACATTTATAGTGTCATTGGAAGATGGCTGGATCATGTTTCAAGTGGATCGACATGAGGTACTGTACTAATATTGTTTTTCACACTACGTAAATGGCAAATAAGCATATCGCCCATCTGATGGTAAACGGTAAACTTAACCTATTGTATTATCTATTTCATATCAAGTCGCCTGACCGAAATCTTCGGGCGTGTATGGATGTATGGACTAGCTGTAATCCGAGACTTCGTCCGCGTCGAATTTAACTTTTCTTTAAGTTACTCTTTTTGACATTAGCTATCTGCAAATGAAAGTCGAAATCGAGATTAACAAGAACAAACAGACCGACACACAATATCTTTATCATCTTTACTCTCGGATGAGAGTGTAGCAACGAACCCCTTTGTAACATAGCTTTATATCCGCGGTGCACTCGTCTCAAGGCCTTTTTTCTCACAATTCTAATGCTATTGGCCGCAGCTGGCCTTTACAGCTTCACTGAGTGATAAATCGGTGAATCTGAAAAAGTCCACGGCACCAATATAATCTGAGTTTCCGAATTTCATTTTGTATTCACCAGATGGCGCTATACGTTTAGTTGTCAACAATTTAGTGATATTACATAAAATACAATCATTCATGTGATAACACTCCAAGTGTTTCAAGAATTTAGAAGTTAATAATATTTACTATTTAATGATAATTACTTAAAATATGTATTCATTCTTTCATAATTTATGAGCGATGCTCTTGTCGGTCGAGCTCTTGCCACTTTCCACGATCTTTCATGATGAAACGAGCCCTTTATATGTTGATACGACTCGGCTCTAATTTTGTATTTATTTTGCTTGATGTAGCTGTGCCTTGTTATTCCTTTCCCTTTCCTTCCTTTTATTTTTCCCTATATTATGTCATAAAATGATAAAATTAACAAATATCATAATTATCTTACAGGTGGCTGAAATGCTAAAAACAATAAGGATAGAGCTGATTAATCTTCTAGAAGAGAAGATAAACGACCCGAGCCTCAACTTGCTTCATTACGAGAAAGGGAATAGAATAATTAAGACCATTGTACAAGTTATTAGTAAAGATTGAATTTACCATAATAAATATATAATTGTTATAAAAGTAATATGTTAATGTGTGAGTGAATACGCACAATAAATGCAAATAAATAGGTATGCACATACACATACAATAAAGAGGAAATGAAATTACAGGGTACAGAGTAATGGCAGAATTTAGGAATGGTAATGAACGAGAGGTATGAATTAGAGGTAGGGGTTGATCCCTGCACTTGGTTGATAGTGATAAAGTGATAATGATATGTGGAGATGATTAAATAAAAAAATTCGTCCCAATGTGAGTACTTATTGATACACACAGATTTTTTTACTTTTTAGTAAATTGAAACATACAAGACACGGCGCGGTTATACTGCTATATTATCAAGTTCTATGTATATATATATATAGGTACATATAGTCAATAGTTACCACTTTCGATCATAAGGACCTTCAGTTTAAGCACGATACTAATTAAAAGTCATCACAGTTAACAGCACCATCTACAGTCCCAAGGTAAGCAAAGCTTGTGTTATGGGTACTAGACAACTGATATATTTTTAGTTTTTTTTATAATTAATTACATACAGTTTCAAAACACCCAGAACGATACAAACAATCATACTCATCAATACAAATGTTTGCACCGTGCGTCAAATCGCCTGATATACATTATATACACTCAATCTTATACACTGCATTAGATACTCTTATAAATACTCGTATTGTATATACACGTCACTTGGGTAAAAGCTATGTGTATATTATATCCTATATATGGTACGAACTGTGTATTAGTACTTTCTACTTATTTTTTTGTATTGTTATTTTTGTACGAAATTACCGCTTAATAAATCTTAATGTATTTTGTATTTTTTTAATTAAGAATTAATATTCAAAGTAAAAGGATTGCACTTTAATAAGCAAACGTATAATAGACGTTTTAGTTATATTGCATCATGCAATAATAACATATATATATAATATACATATACATAATCTACTAGTTTGTGTCTACTGTTCTTTTGGGCTGTATCAAAAACTACATGTGCCCACAACTTGGTACGAGATTGAATACTCTGTCAATTAAATGACAGACATATAATTACTCCTTTATTGTTTAGGAAATATTAAAAGAAAAAATATAGAAAGTACTAATAATTGGACAACACATGTAATATAGAAACAATAGGTGCTATTCCTTTTTTTAATTTAATATTAATTTTATTATACAAAAGTACAAAATGTAAATACATAATAAAGTTGTATAATTTATTTTTTGTTAATATCAATTTTAGTTGAATTATTGTATACACGGACAATAATAACTTAAAATTATACTTGTAATTTATCTTTTTATACCTACAATGAGCTTCTAGTTGAATTTGTATCTTTACTATGTGTAGAATAAAATATTTTTACTATTTTTTTTTATTTGTGTAATATATAGACTCCTTTAACTTTCCATCCTATTGATATTTATATAATTTTTTTTACGTGTTCCTCTTAGTCATTTGAGCCCTATTTTGTGGTAATGTGTGGATTTCAGGATTTATTTGTTTCAACTGTACTAATGATAAGGTATAGGAATTTTATTGTACGATGATAGTCCAAAGGACACTCCAAACTCGCGAAAGAAGTCCATTCTATGGATTAAGCTATTTATTATATCGTTAACAAAAGAGCGCATTTATTTACTTACTAGCTGACACAGAGAACGTTGTTTTGCCATATAAATTAATATCACTATTGAAAAATAGGCTATGATCGTAGAAGGGTGAAAATGTAGGGTCGAATATACTTTTTCAATCCAAATCATAAAAAAAATAGTGTCTACAAAATAAAGAAAATTTTTAGGTGGGCCTCCCTTATCACTTATGTATTTATAAGCTAAATAACAACCTATTCTTAGATCTGCAGAGTATACATATAAAATGTAATCAAAATGGGTTCAGTAGTTCAGGAATCCATCGCGGACAAACAACGTGACACGAAATTTTAAAATATTTAGACTAGGCTCCGGCTTCGTACGGATGTACATGTATACATTTAAACCTTCCTCTTGAATCACTCGTATCTGTTGCTAAAAAATTTATTAAAATCCGTTGCGTAGTACATAAGATCTAAGTCATTCTAACGAACAAACAGCGGAAGTGATTTCATTTATTATACTATGTAAAGATATAGCCCTGCTTTTTCTATAGACAATAAATAAATATTGCAACACTGTAGGTATAGTACGGTGTGTACAATCTAACCTATACAACCTAACAGGTAGTTTTTTTTAAGGGATGGTAATGGTGCTTCCGCCTGCGCTAACTGTATACGCTGGCGGGGCACCAGTGGAGGATGATAAGATGAGCATGAGGTCAGGTCAGTTAGCCCATCGTGACAAATTTACTAGGAATTTATGTGCGTAGAGGTCAACGTAACATGGTAGATTACTAGCAATGGAGTCATGAGTCCACATTACTAAATTACTAACAATCCCTCCCCCCCCCCCCCCTCCCAACAGGTAGTTATGGACGCCATAATAATGTAACAATGATTCCGTCCCGGGATGTTTATATTATGTAAAGGTTAAACCCACAGTAACACTCTGATTATTAAATTTCCGAACGAATCCGATCCCTCCAACGAAACAAAAATCAAAAACAAACATTTACCTACTGTGGTATAACAAATTGACCTAACATCGGAAATATGTACGTCATCAATCACACCGTTGCGAACATTGTCCGACAAAATGGATTCGTCCCGTGCAAACATGTCCTAACGACTGTCGGTCACAGCCTGAAAGGTAGGGCTGTTAGATCCATCACAACAACTATAATAAATTTCAACTGAAAGTCTGCTGGGATATTTTTTCAGCATTTAGGTAGTGAAATTACAGGATAAGAGGCATTTTAGCCTTGTACAATAGCAACGTATGACTATATAACAGGTGCAACTTGAATAACGGCCTCGGTGGTCTAGCGGTTTAGCTCACCGCCATACTTCCATTGGTCGCGAGTTCGAATCCTCGCATAGTATGAACATTGGTATTAATGAGTTGTTTGTGGCAACGCTTGAGGAGAATGACGAATATCACATCATGATGTCATGTATATTGACGATGTAAAGTAATCTGATGGTGAGTGGCTTACCACACATCACCATCAGTATCACCAAGGTCATCAGCTTGTTTAGCAACCTAAATTGATTGAAATAATTTAAACGATTAGGTATATAAAGAATAGGTATATGAGGGTGTAGGCAGGGGCATTGTTAATTAATCAATAATTCAACTTGGCAGGGGATGAACCTACGTCTTACAGATTAGTTTCGTTTGTTATCGGTGTAATCATCATCGGAGAGTTAGAACAAAATATAGATAAGTATTACCTTTTTGTGTTGGTAGTATTCGAGTTCCCGACCTTTTGCCTTAAGTCGAGGTATTAGAAAGAACGTCAGTAACATCGCTCTTAGTCTTATGGCTCATAATATCTATCTGCCCGTTTGGCAGCCCTGTTCACAGCAATATTTCAAATGAAGGTAAAAAATTGGGAAGCCCTCCATTCGCGGCGATTCCAATAGTGCGGCCCGGAGTCGTAAAACGCACGTGTTTTGGTCCCGCTACATGTGTACTTTGAAGGGCGAACTTTTGGGTGAGGACCGTCCGAGTTACGCCGTGAGAATAGTGTGGATATGACATTTGTATTTCTACAAATTATAATAGAATATTACGATATGTGAGTTATGTGTTGTTGATTAAATATAAATAAATATGACATAAAAAGTTTGTAAAATTTCACCCTTTTTCACCATTTTTGAAGTTAGAACGATGAATTTTTTCTTTGGCTTTTTTGGGGTAGATTATTAAATATATTGTCTTTATTTTGTCAAGGTCCACTATTTCCCGTGTATGGAGTTGCGGGCACAGCTAGTAATAAATAACTATCTTACCGTAAATGTTACGCTTATGAAGTTATATGATGATATTTCGTTTATAGGCAAATATAATGTAATGAACGTAAATATATAACTTACATTCTATATTTATACCAATAATATTTGTTTATATATTAGTACCGCATATATTAATACATTAGTTTGTAGCGGAGCACGCAATGTACTTAAAAGTTTTCATTAGTATAAAGCTAGTAGCGCCATCTATTGACAAGTAGTTTTATTTACAAAATATTATATTGGAACTCATAGATGGCGTTAATAAGTTACCAACAACTTTCTTAATTGTTTATTTAAAGTTAGATCACTTTTGTAGATACTACAACTTAATATGTAACTACTTAAATACGTTTTAGATAAACAAAAACATAATGGGTTTCCTTATGTCTAGGTAATAATGAAATAGTCTAATTTGAATAAAGATAGGTACCTTTCTAATTGGAATTTAAAATCTGTACGGCCAACAACAATTATATTTATCTACATGTTACTAACATGTAGATAAATATAATTTTTGTTCTGAAGATAATTCCTTACATTTGATCCCTGTTATTCTATCGCAAAACCGAGATCCCCCGTTTCGGCCATTTTGAATCGCGTCACGTACGGGCCGGCGCGTAATTGGCGCCATTTACCGTCCCTGGCCGTCGCATACTCGTTACACGTTTTTGGTCCTTCGTCCATCACTAGATATGTACACCTACATTGAATCCTTATCACAAGACGCGTAGAGTTGAAATTCGCACTGGAGTGGCAAGTTGACCGTTCCAGATCCAATATCAGAGACAGTAACTTTTGTCTACGGTTTAGTACGGGACGTGTTGATGGATGTATGCATGCTAAAGCGTATAAGTTTTCACATAATACTTACGTAGTACATCTACATAATGGAGGTAAGTATACCTACACAAGCGTAAATATTTCTATTGTCTTGTTTGATGTATTTTTTACGGATACAGGCATGAGAATGAAATTAGATTAGTTAATTCGCAATAGCGAACTTATTAGGAATGAACTAGAATCAGCTAAAGTAACCGTTTACAGTCAGATGGGCCGTATGGTAGTATGCCCCCATCGTTGTATAAAAAATTGACAATTTACAGCGCCATCTATTCCCAAGGCAAGCAGAGCATGTGTTATCGGTACTATGTAGATAACTGATAAATGATAACAAGACTTAGATATATATTTTTGTAAATACATAGCTACATAGAGAACACCCAGACCGATACAAACTATCAATACAAACATTTATATCGTGCGAGGAATCGAACCCGCGAAAACCGAAAGTATAGCGGTGTGTTAAACCGCTAGACCACCGCGGCCTTGCGAAAGAAGTGAGACCAACGCAGGCGATTAAATACAACATGAGTCTTAAACAAGTAAACCAAATAAACAAAAAAACATTAACACCAACGCAATAACGCAAACAGCCGTCGCAAAAAGCCCGACCGTTATTATCAGTCGTTGATTCCATTCACCGAGGCCGAATAAATCAACGCGAAAGCCGAAAGCCGACAATAAATTTCGTCCCAATCCTGGTCATCGCGAC